GTCCCCAGGGGGGGGGCAATACGGGGCACTTGCCCCCCCTGGAATAATGTTATTTCCATTTCATTCAAATAAAAAAAAATTTATTGAAAATGCACTGACACAATTTGGTAGAGAATGTCCACGGAGATTGAAATTTATATTTAATGAAAAAGAATGATGTATAATAATATTTTTTAATGTTTTATTGTAATAATAATACCTACCTAATTGTAATGTTTTAATTCATAATTTTAATAATGACGAAATATAATAATTTACTATAAATAAAATGTATAAAAAAATTTTTATTTATTATTTAAATTAATTTTGCCCCCCCCCCCCTAGAAAAATGTTTGGGGATGCCCATGAGGGTACATAATACAATTACCATTTATATTTATAAGACAACATAATAATAATAAATAATAATGTTTTTATAATTTTATAACATAGATATAATATTTCAACATTTGAACATTATGTATAAAATTCTCGTAGATTAAAAGGAATTTTTCCTTGCTAGAAATTTTGCAAACTTTTCAACCATTTTACGTTCTACGTTTCTGAGTTGGTATTATGTGTATAAAATTTCTGTCATAAGTAAGATTTGTTTGCTGGATTATCCGAATTCACTTAAACTTGATTTATTATTAGAAATGAGTAAATTGATAATTTATTATCACATAATATACACATATTTATATATTTGGGTAAAATTGTAATAGTATTCATTAATAATGAATATTATTATGGTTTCAGATCTTATAGCATATGCTAATTGTTCTAGGATACGGTATACATTTGTTTCGTGTACCAGAGACTTCAAATATAAAATTAAATCATCATATTTTTTGTATATTTAAGGTATTTTAGATTTTTAGTATAATTTTCGAAGTTATGGTGCTATTACTGATCAATTCACACAATGATTTATTTAGAATTTACCATAAATATTATTTATATTGACTGAAAATATTATTAATAGTCTTATTTAAAACGTAGGTACATACAATAACAGTTAATTACAATTTAGTGCTATCGACGTTTCTGGTTTTGGTTTCCTATCTATCCTATTATTTTCAACTTCCGTGGGTACCTATCGATCGATAATAAAATATTTTTCAAACTGATATGTTAATTACCTATTATATTATTATTTTTTTTTTTTTTTTACAACAATCTGCATACGTGCTAGTGAAAATCTGGAAACGTTGTACACAATATTATTCATTTATTTTTTATCGTGCTCAATCGGATCGTCAAAAAGGTCGGCAGATTACGACCGTGCTCAATCGGGTATCACCGATTCAAACAAATGAACAAAATATCTGCAAAATATTTATCTAGAAGAGGGGGACATGTACGTACATTACGGACGACGCGGCCGATCCGTTTGTGAAAGTCGAATCCCAATGTTCTCCGATATACGTATACCTGCGCGACGTGCAAAACACTTACGCAGCCATGCGTCATATTCGCAGACAACCAAAACGATCGTCAAGACTGACTAAACAATCGAATCATTTTGGCCGAATTCTACTCGTACACTTTGAAGGCGTGGGACTGATGTAATGGAGGTGTCTGGCGAGCCTAGATAATGATGGTTTTTTTGTTTTTCTCGTTCGCATCGCCTATCAGATATGTTCAACCGATTTGTCCACACATTCCACCTGCACCGTTGGGCAGAATATCTAACCGTCGATTTTTATCGTAATCCGATCGGTACAGGAACACAGGTACAGAGGGTCACCGCGTCGCACCGTTTCCATTACAAATACGTGGATATTAGTAAATTATACGCAGGAAGGATATAAATCATCATATGCGCTCGACGAAGACAGATGTAATTGGTTGAGTTGTAATGATATCTATCTCTTCTTCTCTTCTTCTTCTCTTGGCTTTACAATTCTTTAAGAATTTTGGCCGCCACCGTCACCGTTCTCCAATAATCACGATCCTGAACTCCATCTTCCCAATTTGTCACTTCCAATGTTTCTAAGTCCTTCCTTATTCCATCCATCCATCGCTTTCTAGGCCTCCCTCTTGGTCTTTTCCCTGTCGGTTGCCACTCCATCACTGCTCTCGTATTAGGGATTTCTGTTTTCCGCATGGTATGACCAAACCATTTGAGTCTTTGGCACTTAATGTGGCTTGTTAATAGTGGAACTTCAGTGATATCTCTTAGTTCAGTATTTTTTCTTCTACGCCAATTATTTAGCTCACTATCAAACACTGGACCACAAATCTTCCTCAATATTTTATTTTCAAAAACTAGCAGCCTTTTTTCTAACTGTATGGTAGTGGGCCATATTTCACAATCATAGGTAACCATTGGTCTTATTATGGTCATGTATAATCTGATCTTAGTCCTTCTGGAAAATAATTTTGATTTGAAAAATTTATGTAACACGAAATAGGCCCTCTCTGCCTTGCGTATACGACTTATGATTTCGGTACTCCAATCATTGCTATTGGTAATCGTCGTTCCAAGGTACTTGAACTCTTTAACTTTCTCGAAAGTATAGTCATTGATAACCACGCTTTCTTCCCCATTGGGAAGTAATTCCATTACTTTCGTTTTATCTTGGTTTATTTTTAATCCGACTGATTTAGCAATGATACTAAATGCAATTTAGTAATGATATCTATAACAATACTAAAACACACTAGCTAAGCGTGCGATATTTGTAAGTGCGTATAAATTATTCAGTGATACAAATAGGAAAAAAATGTGGCGGTAGGGGACTTAATAGCTCTCCCTGTTCAAACAATAAGAATATTACAATAGTTTTTATAACTATGATAATAATAACTATAATAATATGAACAATGGCGTCCAACACGTGTGGCAAGTGGGATAAATAACACTAATAAAAAGTGGAGTAACTTTTTTAGGTGGTAGGTAGATAGGTTGACTTAATGAGTGCTAGATTTATTATCGTTATTATTGTACGATAATGTATTCTATAATACTATGTTATTACTAGTAGTTCACAGGTATACAATATTTAATTATGATAACCCATAAGTAGGGTTCACCCCAGTGATATAAAAAAGATTCGGCACCATTGAATATGAATAATAGTTATAACTAGAGCCCGGATTTATATGCATTTGCATGTTTGTACTAAGCGTATGCACGTCTATGGAGGTTTGAAATGTCCACGATTCATATCACACCGAATTTAAACACCAAATTTTATATTGCATATTTCGAAGGTTATTGCATATTTGTTCATGAATGCATATAACATACATATTTAATAGGTTTTTAATAAATTAACTATTTTAATTTGCAGTAAATTTTGTAATCTCCTCGAATAGAGCATGATTGACATGATAGGTATTAAGTTTCAAAAATATTATTTTAAAAGATTTGTATTTTTTTAAGTGTTCAATTAGTGTTTTGAGGGTAAGTAACTTCAAATGGTCTAAAATATTTATTTTAATTTTTTTTTTATTTTAATTCTCGTTTTTTAGTTTCTTAATTGTTTTAGATTGATTTAAATGATTTGAAATATATATCAGTGGATATTATCATTTTTTTTTGTTTTTGATAAAATAATTAGAATTTTATTTTGTATAAGTGTGGTTTTCAAAAAAAAAAAAAAATCACATTTTATAAAGTGTAACATAATGCATATAATTGCATATTTAGCCACTTTTTCTTTGCATATTTGCAATATATTTGGCACTTTTTAAATGCATATAAATCCGGGCTCTAATTATAACTTATAATAATTATCGTATTGATGTGCACAGGGAGTTGATAAATTTATATTCCAGGTAGAAATGGGAGGAAGCTAATCGCGATTCACGGTGTTTTACAAATATAAATAATAATAATATTAATTATTAATTATTAATAATAATGATTCATAATTGATTAAAATGTTTTTACACATGTAATCCCTAAATCCTAAAGATGGATGTTAATATTGTATAACCAATAACTTATAACCATTATTTTTAACAGCCTAAAAAATATAAAAGGAAGAGAATAGAATTCTTTAGTCAGACTTGTCACTTTCTAGCAATTTTAATATACTTAGTCAGAAATAAATAATGCTGGTTATATTTTATAGACACAGACATCAGATCATCATAATAAATAAGATGAGGAATCAAAAACAAAAAATATAACAATAAAATCGGGAGACAATTTAATATTTTATTTTCTGAACGTGGCATTACAAAATGTACAAAATAAGACTTTTATATAAAACTTTAACAAGGTCTCGCAGCGTTTAACAATTTTTCTCATAGATTTCAATACATTTTGTTTTTAAGTCCAAGGTTGGCCGCAACATGTACGTTTTATACTATATTTAAAACAAATTCTACTATATAATGACTCCCAAAAGAACTAACAAAATACTTTTTTAGATTGCGATCATGTTGCGGCCAATCTAACAATTTGTTAAAACTAAATAGAAAAGTCGAGCAATTTATCATACTGCAAATGATTTTAAAATAAATTTATAACAAGACTAAAAAAAAAAAAAAGGAAGGAAAAAATCACAATACATATAACTGAATACCAGTAATCAAAGATAACAAAACAAAGTTTTGTTTTCAGCTTATTAGCAATTTGTTTTGTAAAAATTATAATTTTGGATAAGTATCACTTATCCTAGAGTGACACAATCTCCTTGAGAAGAAACATCAACCCAAAAAAATACAATTCAGTTACAATAATGTAGCAATAAAGTACAATATTCATGAGTGTATGTGTACATGAGCTAATTAACAACATTAATAACAACTGAATTTATAATTTAAATCCTCAACAAGATGTCATATGCTAAATTGAATGAAAACCGAAAAAAAATTATTAGGTCACAATATTAAGGTATATTATATATATATATATTTATAAACAAATTAATAAATTTTCTAGTTATTTTCTTCTTATTTTGGCATAACAAATAAAATGAAATTAACCTTTGAAGGATTTAATGGAAAAAATAATAATCATTTGTAAAGAACGAGAAAATAATAAAAAAATAAATAACAGAAACTGAACAACATTATCTAAAGCAAGTTTAATTATATCATAGTGTTCATGATGGTAGATTTTGAGCTTAAAATAGCTGACAATCAAGATTTTTCAGTTGAACGAACAAATATTTTGTATGACTTGAAAAACGCCGAGAAATTATAAAAAAAAAAATAAAAATAAAATACAATTAATTACTGCATTTTTTGTACTAAATAATGTTGATTTATGAAAACAAAAACATATTTAAAATATAATGGAAGCTACTAAACATTAAATGAGATCACCTTCGAACAGGATTAAGTTATAAATAGTTATTAATTAATAAAATTAATATTACGGAAAACATATAAATATATATTGATACAGCATAATGAATACATAGATTTTACATTATTTTACTGTTTATTCTACAATCTATAATTATGATCAGGGCTCATATGTTCATGCACTAAACAATAACTAAATATTATTCACTTATGCACTAGAAATTGACAAAATATGCAATGAAATATGCCTTAAAAAGTTCAAAAATATATAATTAGCAGTAAAAAACTAAAAATATGTGCATTGAAAAAAAAATCCTATGTGCAATTTTTTAAATAACAAATATCCATTTGGAATATGTTTAGACTATATATTCTGTAAATCTTTAATAGTTGTTTATTTTAAATCTGTAGTATTTAAAATATACAAAAGATTGATTAATACTGTTAAATTGATGAAGGAACATACACATGTCACAATAACAACTAGAGACTACAATTTTAAATTATTGCCATTTTTTCAAGAAACCATTATTTAAGTATCAAGAAGAAATTTCTATTTTTATTTTAAAACAAATTATCCGCTAAATTTAGCATTACATTTATCAGTAAAAACCAAATTTAGTAAGACTACCAAAGTTTTATATTTAATCATTTTACATGGCCATTTCACAACCATTTTCATACATTAATTATAAATAATCAAACTTTTTTTTTTTTATAGTATTTTAATAAAAAAAATTAATTTAATTAATAATATCAAAATGAGTATCAAACTTATGAATAATATGCCTAATAAAAATAAAAAAATGCATAATTATGCCAAATGTGCAAAAATATGCAAAATAAAACTTCATACATTAAACCATGGTGTCTTGAAATATATTTCATTGTCATCTAGCATTAAATACAACATAGCTAGATTGATATACAAATTCATAAACTTATGAGCTCTGATTATAATATATATATTATAGCTTCCACTATATAAAAAAAAATATAAGTAATCAATTTACAAAACTTACTTTTTTATTGCTTTTACTAAATGTGGACTAGGATCAAATGAGTTGGCTATATCTCATGACTCCCGAATGGTCGAATATATTTGGTATTGCCCTTGATGCGCTGGCGCAGATGTTGTTTGATGATGGGGATGTGGGTGGGAAATATATTGTTGGGGATGCTGTTGTGGTGGAGGTAATTGCATTGGAGGTGCCGAACCAGGTGTATTCGGTGCTGGTGGCTGTTGCGATGCTGTAGGTGTTGGTAAAATAGGGCACATAATAGTAGTACCTGCTGGGAAAGGAGGTGGTTGCGATTGTTGAGGTGGAGGTTGTTGGAAATTAACTGGAGTTTGGGACTGTCCAGGTGTTTGTGGAGGTCCAGGTTGGGGTGCTGGAGACTGAGCAGTCTGTTGCTGATTCATTATATGATGTTGTGATGCTTGATGATGGTGGTGGTGATGATATGACTGTGGTCCTTGAGGCACACCACTTTCCATTTGACTTAACTGACTTGCATTGGCCGGATGGTAGCTAATTGATGTCGGCACTAAAGTAGGCATCATACCTCCTCCTTGTTGTGGGACCATACGGACCATCTATATCAAGAGTTAATTTTATATCATATATTTTTTGAACATTTAATACATATTTATTATGGATTATTAATAATTTCTACATAACAGTACAACATAATGAACAGGGCTCGGAAGTTCTAGCAAATGTATATTTGCCTTGGTTCATCCAAGAACATCCAAAGATACAAATATGGTTCTCACTACCCGGATATCATACACAAAATTAAATTTTGCTAATTTAGGGTTTCTAGTGCTATTTTCGGGCATATTTTCACTTAATACACAAAATAATCACATTTTGTTGATAATAATTCTACTTACTTGGTTATACTTTTAAAAATATTTGAATTATTATTATTAAATAGACCTCATCAAATATTATTCATGTTTTCATCGACAATTTGATGAATTAATAGTTATTGACGTCATTGTTATTCCCTTATTAGATCATTGCATTAGATTATCAAACATTTTAATAACCCAGGATAATTTTTAAGGTAAATATATAAAACAATTTAATGATAAGTACAAATATATTTAAATAATTTAAGATTTTTGTTAACAGTTTATAATTCAACCAGTCCAAACTGTATCTATGAGCCCAAAAATTTGTAAAATTACATTTTTTTTCTAATAAATTAATAATTTTTTCAAGTAAAAAGCATATTTTTTGATTTTTAATGCTAATTATAGCACATATTTTAGAGTTTTTAAGTGCATATTTAAGAGCTAAAATGTAACATTTTTAGTGCTACAACTTCCGAGCCCTGATTATGAGCAATTAAGGTAAAAATAATAAATTTTATTACCATGGAAAACATAATTATTGAATATTATACCTGAACTTGTTGATAAGCTTGAGGAGTAGGCATAGGTTGTGGACTATAACCAGGTACAGTAAATTGTGCTTGAAGTGGTGCTGGTGCCAAAAGGGGTTGTCCAGTTGCTGCAGCTACTTGTATTTGTGAAGCTAAGTCGCTTCTATGTGACATTCCAACTGTCACTTAGTTAAATAATTTTATAAACACAAATTAATTATTTTGAATAACTAATATCAATTATTAATACTTACTTTTACGAAAACGTCCTGTTTGATTTGGCGGTTGTGGAGGCATTGAGTGAGGATGATGATTGAATGCAGAATTTGAAGTAACAAATACAGTAGGTAACATAGTGAATGCAGGATGGGGATGGGGTGGTGCTTGATGTGTTACCATTGGCCCAGTTCCTGGAGCATGTTGGTGATGATGATGATGATAAGCAGCAGGAATAGCAATTGCTGGTCCATGTTGAGCTTGAATCATTTGTTGGTGCTGTCCTGAAGAAGCAACTATATTAGTTGTCGGCGTTTGGGGAGTCATAGGTCTAGATGAATTTGGAGTACTAGGCGACCGCTGAAAAAAAATATTCAATCAATGTACACATACATATGTTTTAGTTAAAGAAAAGACAAGTAAATAATTTTAAATATTATGTATCAATTAATACAATACTAACTGGAATAAAAGGTTTTGTATTTGGATTAAAAACAAATTCTTTGGCATTAGGATTGAGCTTAGATGTCTGAACAACGGTTTTATCTGGCAATTGAGTTGCATTTTCTTCTACAGATTTTTCAATTTGATCTTTTTTAATGTTTTCTACAATTTTTTCAGTTTGTCCTTCTTGAAGTTGGTACAATGTTTGAGGAGGAGAAGCAGGAGATTCAGTCGTTTCTTCGGGTACTTGTGATACTTCCTGAACAGTTGGACAAGGTGGCTCAGAATGTGTTATTTGAGCAGGATGTTGTTTAGGTGTTGTTTCAGGCACAACTAATGCAGGTGAAGTAACTCTCAGATCATTTTGAGGTGATGCTGAAGTTAAATTAAAATCTGCACTAAAACGCTTCAGTTCAGAATTCAGATTATCATCTCTAACTGTTAATGAGAAAAAAAAAGTTATAAATAAGTGATAACTAAAAAGTATCAAATATAATTTTATAAATGATAAAATATTAATACCTATTACAACTGTGAATTATTGAATAAAATATACAAATATTAGATACCTCTAACGGAAGTCGGAGGTTGTTGTGTTTTTGGCACAGATTTATCAGCAGCTGCAGCATAAGATGTACTAACATTTGGACGAGAATTAGTTGTATTTGTTTGCTGAGAATAAGTAGCTGTTTGATACCTAGGAGGAACACTTGATATTTGATTGTGATGACCTTGAACTGTTGGCGGAGATGCCCGTGATGAAGATGGTAATGATTGATTGTCATTAGAAGAATAATTGTTTCGACCAGATACTAAAATACAAGTATTATTACAAAATAAAATAAAACATAAAAGAAAAGTAAAAATAAATACCATGTCTTGGGCCAGATGAAGATGTTTCTCTTCGACTATTTATAGAAGCTGATGAACGTTTATCACTTTGACCATTAACAGAAACTGAAGGTTCACGATTAGCTGCATATGTTTGATTAGTATTGTTGTGATAAGAAGGCAATGTAGATTTGTTCACAACATTGCTGCTACCATTTTGCTGATGAGCATGTCCTCGATTTTGGTTACTATTTTTGGTCCCTGAACCAGAAACACATTCCCATCGCTCATTAGATCCACTGCTAGGATATTTATCTGGGTGTTTACGGTTTCTATTAAACAAACCATATGCACTATTGGTAGGCTGCTGTGGCCCTGGTTTACGACGACCAGACATATATTTACTATCATGACTATTGGATATTTCATTGTTAGGTCGTGAAACAGCAGCAAACCTTAATGAAAATTCAACATACAAAACAGTTATTAATATTATTAACTGAGAATAATATAAAACTCAATAATAAATTTTTTCTTCAATACCTTTCTTCTTCATCACCATTTTCTAAATTGGCTCGATTTTGAGAACTCGGATTACTTTCAATTTCACGTGCTAAACGTGCAGCTTTTGCTTCTTCGTTTCTAAACAAAATTAAATTATAATTTTTTATTTAAAAAGAAATACATTACAATTATAAATTATTGATTAACAACTAAAATAAAACTACCAGATTATTTAGCTGTATTATTTATTACTATATATGAAGGGTTTAAAAATTAAAATTAAAATTTTTATAGTATTAAAATTTCCTAAAATTAAAATAAAAAATGAATATATTATATATTTATAGTTAACAAACAACAACAATATTACATTAATAATTAATAGAATTTTTAAATACAAATATATTTTTAATTATTTTTTATTTTAACTTCTGCAACTAATACAATTCTGAGTAAATTAATTTAATTCATTTTTAAAATATTACTTGAAATTTGATAAGTCTGTTCTTATTTCTGTAGTATAACCACTTAAATTTTGATCAAAAGTAGATGTAACACCATGTTCTTGTTCATTTCGTCTAAACATATCATCTGCATCCCAACCATTCTAAAATTTAAAAATAAAATAAAACATAACATAATTAAATAAATACAAGTATAAGTACAAGTAAATATAAAACTCCATATGAATTTACTCATTTTAATTTTTAAGACTATACCATTATCATAACATAACTCAGTAACATATTTATTTTTTGGGAAGTAGTGTCATCCATATCTGAACAACCCCAGTTAAAAAAGAAAAAAAAACTCAATAATAGTCTTACCATTACTTACTTTATGATTACCAAAATATTAATATTCAAACTGAAAAACTAAAATTAATTTTATCAGATCTGATAACAAGATTATAAAAATAATTTAAACTTAGTTTACAGATTATCAGTCATATTCAGGAATTATTATCTGGGTCACTAACGTAATAAAAATTCCTACAGCTTAACAATGAAAATATTGTTAACTTATGGGCTATGTAGTATATTAATAAATCTAGTTTTCAGTTTGTTAGCTTCAAAAATGATTCATTATTAATATTAATATTATTTTGCCATTTATATTTCTGTTGATCATACCAGATCCAGGTATTTACTGAATAAAATATAAATTTATCTAGATAAAATAAAATGAGTTATATGTAAAAAATAATGTTGTGTAGGCAACAAAAATAATATCAATAAATGTACAATATGATTACAGGATTTAGTGATGGCTTGTAGAGTTTACAAAAAATGACACACAAATATTTTTCTACCCAACTTCATAGATTAACACCCTTCATTCCTAATGTGATGCATCATTCACATTATTGAACAATCAAATTTAAAGAAGAAGAGTTTAGGTATTTTACTATAAATTGAATTAACTGTTTATAATATTTGTATAGTAACATAGAGTAATATATGTATAACTATATATACCAGACCGAATTAAGGAGGAGGTCTAGCCAGGGCGGTAGCCCCGGGGCCCAAACAATTTTAAGCCTATACAAATATTTTATCATACTAAAATTAGTTTTATAAAAATAGATTTTATATACCTATTCATTTTATGATCTTATAATTCAATTGACAATTTGTGAAATAGTTAAAAAAATATATATCATTTGTAAAGCATGTTTTGTCAAAAGGGAACATATAAAATTTCAGAACCAGGTTCCAATAGGTGCTTAATCCAACCTTGTATATATATACATACATACATACATATTTTTAATGCCTCTACATTTAAATTAAACATTATATATTGAAGATATTATTCATTCAGTACTAATAATGAATGAATAATACTCAAGTATTATAAAGTAGTATAATAATACTAAGTCTAAGCTAATATCCTTTAATTTATCTATTATGCCACTGTTTCAAATGTAAAATAACCAGTGAAGTGTAGACATACTTTAAAAAATGCAAATTCAATGTCTTTTTTATCCATAAATAATTTAAAAAAACCTGGTTTATGATATTCTCAAAATATTGAACATCCCCCAAAAATCTTACTGCTCTTACTGATATAAAAATGTTATACATTCATAACATAAAATAAACTATAATTTACTAGATATCTATATATATATATAAAAAAAATTAATATTAAAGTAATTATAATTACTCACAGCATTATTATTTCCTGAACCTAAATCAAAGTCCTCCATATCACCATTCATAGATGGTGGTTCCCACATTTCTAATACTTTTTCACCTAATGGTTGGCCATTATATTTACTAATTGTTGTATCGGTTTGGAATGTATCTATAAATTATTAAACACATGTAGTTGATCATTAAATAAAACTGACTTATGAATATTAACCACTTACTTCGAGTCATACTATCTAAATCTGTTTCATATGCAGCAATTTTAACTATACTATCAAATTTAAATATCATTTTATCAGCTACAATCTTTAAGCCTACAGCTTGACTTGATGGAGGAGGATCAGTCCTATGCGGTAATTCTAATACAACATCAAAATTACTCGAAAATGTACGCAATATACCCGAGTACATTTCTTTAGAATGAGTTACTATCTGAAAAAAAAAATGTATTAAATATTATAAAATAATTAAGTATATTTAATTCTTACTTCTACTTCCAATCCAATTAAACTAGTGACACGATGCATAAATGTTTCATTTAAATATATTCCATCAGCACCAGATACTTGGGCATTCATTCCATTTCCACCTGAAGATGAAGCTCTAGTCCGAGGAGCTCTATAAAAAAAATTTAAAAAAATACAATAAATAACATTGAATATTTATGGTACTTAAATAATATAAATAAGAATATACTTAAAAATTAGGAATATATATGTTATTATAAAAAATAAATAATTGCAAAGTTAAAAAATATAACTCTAGATAAAAACATATACCTAACGGTTTTCTTGCCAGATTACTATCAAATTAACTTTTCAGATAAGGGAATTTATTTAATAATTTATTTTAATATACTTGAAATTTTTAAAAAACTTGTGGTATGACTTGATGGTAAATAAAACATACATATTTATATAAACAACTGAATATAACTTATAGTTTATACATTTTAAAATATTTAAATAGTTATAACATCGCTATTAATAATACTATTATTGATACTATTCTGAACACCAAAAGTTTGAAGTACTTATTTCATTATCCTTCATAACAAAACAAATTATTTGTACAATAATAATTTTTGAACTACAAAAAAAAAAAAATGTTACATATTTATATGTTAGAATACTTAAATCATTTTTGAAATAGGTATAATTAGTACTCTTAGTGTCTTTGATGATTAATTGAGTTGAAAAAAGAAAAACAAATAATAGAAGAAAGATAAATACATTTTTTTTTTTTTTTAAATACTCTCTTATAATTTTATACTAAGTAATACGATTTGTCAAGTCAACAATCAATTTATAAAATAGCCATATTAAAAATGAGCTAAAATAAAAATAATAATTTAATTTAATTTAATTCATGATAGAATCAGTTAAGTTGTTAATTTGAATGTCAAAATATATTTATCGAAATGTATTTCACAAACTAACTGGCATAACCATTTACGTCAATTTATATAGGTATTCATTTTAATATCAAATAAAAAAGAATAAAAAAGGAGTTTCATAATTTTGTATAAAAATGTTTAACCCTCGGTTAAACCTTAAAAACACAACATTTTGTAGATATTGTGATATTTGGTATATTTTTAAAAACATAAATATGAACTTGTATTTAATAGAAGAAAAATATTAAAAAATGTAATCAATTAAATATAACTTTAAATGTTCCTAAAATAACTTTTCTGAAATTTCATTCAAATTTAATCTCTTAAATAATAAGAAACATTCAATACAGTGATACTATCCTTAGTGTTCATAGAAAAACAATTAATTCATTACTATTTAGAATTTATACATCAAAAATAAATTTTAAAAATGTCCAAATGTTCAGTTATGCGAGTACAATAGGTTAGTATTAAAAAAAATGGTTTATTTAAAACTATTAAATGTTTATCTCCTAATTTAGCTTAATTTATATAAACTTATTTTTTATTTTTAAGATTTAAATTACTATTTTGATAAGAGATATCTATATTTAACTTTAATAAAATGAAAAATAAAATTGAAATAGCTTTAAATAAATGGCTTATAGAATAACTATACCTGATATGTAGACTAAAAAGATTTCTACAAAATAATATAAGGTAATTGATGATAAGACTGTTTTATAATTGAGAGAGGGAATCAAAATTACAAAAATACTAAATTGCAATTCTAATATAATGAAGTACCTACTTATATTATAAGTGACTTTAAATTAAATTGTAATTTTAACACTATTGTTTTGGTATCTATAAATGTATATACTAAAGGGTCAGTAACCTTTAAGTAGGAAAAAGCCATTTTTTTTTTCATACATAAAAAGTTACAAAATCATGATGTCGAAAGAGCTTTTCAACAGGCACTGATAGGACTTTTTTTCTTTTTTTGGTCATAAGTATGATTTTTATACATAAAAAACGAATTCTTCAGCTTTAGAATATTATAAAAAGCTGCATATTATTTGCTTATGCTTCAGAGCCATAGGTTACCAATCCCAAATCTATGTGCAAATAAAATACCTATTTCAGAAAACATGAAATTAGTGTTTTTGGATCTAGCTTACAGCTAGATCATATATATATAGTATGTATTTTTATAATTTATTTACCTACCAAAACATTTGTTCAGAAATATAAAACAAATATTCTTTTCTCAGAATTCATATACTATACAGGTGTTTAATATTTAACACATACCTATGACTATTTTAATTAAAATTTTAAAATTAACTCCAAATATAACTTAAATATTAAGCCACTTAGTTTCAAATACTACATAAATTAATTGGACGCACACTAAACAATCAGCTAATATAAACTACGAATAGTGGGTGGATCTCTATGTATATCAATATCAAGACCTTTATCCCAGAATAATATACATTAAAACATATTCTACTTAATACAAAAGATAATAATTTGTAATAAAATTCGCGACAGTAAACAATGGTGACTAATGATTTATCATAATGGTTTATTTTTGAACTCATGCCAGAAGACTCGAGCATACAAAAAATCTATATGGAAAATAATTACATAAATTATAACATACAAATTAAAAAAATAAGTAAATGAAACGGAAGAGAAAAGATCATGAAAAAAATTGTTGTTATTCTCGATTCACCATCGACTATAGGAATAAAATAATTAGTATTAACATCCAAGAGCCACCAGAAAAGCTAACGTAGTTTTTTAGACCACGAAAAATATGGTTAGTCAGATGATCCACCACATTGTGCTTTATAAAGGAATTTACGACGCCAAAAATGAAGTACCATAGTAGAACAATATAAAAACTACTTATAAAATGGTTTAAAAGATTCGAATTCTTAACGACAGAAAAACGAGCGCGTGCATTTTAAGGAATTGCTCAAAAAATCAGGTGTGATACGAGTATTGCAACACTTTCTTTGTTCAGTAACTTAATGTACAAATAATAAACGTATAGTCATAATGTTTTACGAGTATAGTGCATAACGACGACTCCCTAAGTCATAGAAAATATAGCACGCGGCAGAAAAATCTCCGACAAAATGGCGACGGTGTGTTGACATTGATTAGCAGCGGAAAGCAAAGAAATAATAATAATGGTCAGTCATTAAAAGACGACGAAGTGATTATAGTTATCGCCAATACCTAGATATGCACATTTGTAGATATACAAATTATAATAAATTCTTAATCGTCAGTAATTACACTGTACATAAGTACAAGGATACGACAATTCCTGAGATTGGAACATATTTAAAAGATAATAAAATATATCAGTTTCTTTCTATTTTTCGAAAAACAAACACCCCAGTTGTTTAAGACACCTCGGTTTCGAATTTCTCAACAATCCCTATGAGAAAAACAGCACTCGTAAAACTCTCAAAACACGAAAACAAAAAAATTGATTTAGCATGAGAAACTTCGCACTGTACAAACATAAAAGTACACTAAAATCATAATTTCTCACCTCGATCCGGTGCTGTTGGTGTTGGCGCGACTTTTTCTCTTCGTGTTCATCCTGCCGTCGTCGTTTCGGCCGGGAAAGGCGCAATTCTTCGTCGGGACCGGAATTTTGAATAATTTCTAACACTGAACGAAAAGTATAAAACAACGTTTGGACGTGGCCTTAAACTTTTTCCAATTTATCTTATTTTATATGAATTATTACTTAATCGATCTAATCGATTCGAATCGGTTTCGGCCGAACGGGTGTGTATTTATACAAATGTAAGTATATGTGTGTGTAAATAGTTACGTACGTTGACAACACAAAAACCGAACCAATTGCGTTATTCGAACCGATGCGTTGAGCGACGGCAGTAACGACGGACAACCGGCAAGATACGTAAAAATTAAATTAAATTAATAAATAAATGTAGATAAATATATATACATATATGTGTATACGTGTATGTATGTATATATATATAAATATATGTATATAGGGTATAGAAAAAAAAAAATAAAAAGGGGCGAACAAATTTAATATATACGAACGCCCTGGTAGTAGGCTAACGACAAGCGCTGACGTAATCGATCAAGTTCACTGCACTCGGTGTACGTTTTGGATCTTCTGGCCAAGTGTACGCGACTGGACTGAGCGGTTACGAGCACCCGGAAAGACGCGATCTCACAGCAGACACGGCATAATCAGAAAGAAGAAAATAACAACTCTCTAATAATAATTAATAAAAATAACTGATATTTATTTTTTATATATTATCATGTGTATTTCATTGATATATATACACACACATATATATATATATATTACACATGTATGTATATATAAATTTGACGCGCCGACAATAAAGATTGAACGATTTCGCAGCGGACACGGGCAAATAACGAAACAGAAAATTTTTTATAAACGTTTCTACAAACACACTAATGTACGAGCCTGCGCGAACATTCGCGGTAGGTGTGCGGTGAGAGGAAGGAACGGTGCAGTGGATCACCACTAACAAAAGCATTGATCCATGGAACCACACATCGCTCATGGAACAGTGTACTAAACATATGGTTTAAATTTGCCCGCCAAACGCTTGAAACAAAATATACCACAGTAGTTGATACGCGTACCGATATTGGGGTATTCTTCTCGATCAAAATTTAGAGATGATCTGCACTTTTTGTACTGTATATTAAGTAAATACAATGTACACACCTTTTTCCATATTTAAATCGATTGTATAATATATATAAATATATATTTAAAAAATCAACAACATTAGACAATAAAATAAATATTCAAATAGGCTCCTGGCTCCAAATAAACAATCATTAAAAAATAAATAATGAACTATAAAATACAATAAAATGGTATTATTTTCATGTACACAATGAATAACGTCAACTAAATGATAACATTTAACTAGATAATAATAATTAATTTGATATACAATAATATAGAAAAATTATATAATTGTAATTAAATAACATAGAAAACCCTATTGCGATGAACTAGTAATTAAAAATTAATAATAAAAAAACACTTTTAATGTATTTAACTAATAATTAAAGCCCTGATAAAATTTGCAATAATAGAATATGAGAAAATCAACGGAATTCAAATTAAATTAACCAAAATTATTAATTAATTACAACATTAATTACCGATATTCAATTAATTGTTAATGTTTATAAATATTTCATTTTTTCTTTTGATTCTTTGATACAAATAAGTAGCAAAATAGTTTTTCCCATACACTTGAATGACCTATATAAAGATATATCACATAAATATTGTTAAAAAAAAAAAATATACACATAAATTCGATCAATTTTTCTCAGATTCTAGTGGATTAATAGCAACACTTTCAACAGCAAATTTTATACATCCATCACCACTAGATTTAGTTTGTCTCTGACTATATTTACCTAAAAAGAAAGAAAAGAATTTGGTTACTAATGAAAAATTCATAATATTCAATCTAATGATTATTTCTCTAAGCTTAAAAATATTTTTTCCAGTGAATTTTAAATGATATAATTTCAAATATTATATTATGGATACTAATATTTTATACTAACTAATTGGTTTCTGGGAAGATAAATTACTAGTTGAAGGCTTGTTAGGAGAATTAAATAAATCATCATCGCTATCATCACCAAATATTGATTTTGTTTTGATCACAGTCTTTTTGGTAAATTTTTGACTAAATTCAAATTCATCGTCACTATCAAATAAATTGGATGACGCCTTTTTTATTTTTTTGGATTTCGTAGAAAATAGATCATCATTGTCGTCATCAAATAAAGAATTAGATTTTTTAGGTAATAATGTGCTTTGTACAGCAGTTTTATTTTCTTCTTTATTTATTTGTAATGATTCAACTTGTTCATCTGGTATTTTTTCAAGTTTTAAATGTTTTTGTTGGTCTGATAGAATTTGTGATTGTTTTTCATCTACTGATTTGATTTCAATAAGTTTTTCATCAATTATTTCAATATTTTGTAATGCTTCATTAACTGGTTCAATATCTTGAAATTTATTTTCAAGTTCAGATTTTATTTCTGATAGTTTTTTGTCTGACATTATTTCTCTATTTTTAATACAATAATCTTCAATATTTTTATCTTCATAAGTTGCCTCAAATGGATCTGAATCATCATCAAATAGATCTGAAGTAAATGTATTTTTTACTTTATTCTTAGCTTCTATTTTTTCACTACTTTTGAAAATATCATTATCATTAGTTTTAAGTAAATTATTATTAAACGATGATTGTGTTTCTTTTGGTTTTATATTTAAAGAATCTATAGCATTATTATTCGATATTGGACTAGATTGATAATCAACTAAATCAGATGTTGAACCAAATAAACGAGCAGATTCTTGTAGGTTTGATTCATAATTAATATCTATAGATGAAATTCGAGCAGCAGCTATTCTTGCTTTTCGGCTTTGAGGGCGTCTTTTCACTTGAACTCTTGCTCTTTCCTAAAGTAACATTTTTATATGATGTAATTAATAAAAAACTGAAATGAAAAATTTATTTACGAATACAAATATGCAATACAAAAAATATTAAATTATAAATGTATATTTACTTTTTCAGCACTAAAAAGTTTTGACCCACTAGTTGGTAAATTATCATCAATTTTCTTTTCATCTAATGAAACTGATCGAGAAATTTCAGATATTTTCGATGGACTTTTTGAATTAGGAAGTAAACCAGCAATATTTATAAAAGCACCGGCATTCTTATTTAATTTCCCTGAAAAATCAAAAATCTCTTTAATAATATTTTAATACAAGTGTATATAGTTAAATAAATAAGTTATAAAATTATATAAATACTATTGAGAGTAATTTTTACTAGTGTAATCCAAATAAATTAATTTAATTAGATAAACATAAATTTATCATAGATTAATGAAAAATCTATCAATTAGTAGTTATAAAAAACTGGAAAATACATTATACACGATTAATATCAATTTATTGATTTATGAAATATTATTATTAAATTTACCAGGAAGTTTTGTTGTTTCAATTTTTGAGTTAGGCGAACTAAAGGAAGAGCCATCAATAGAATCTCTTAGAGACACTTTTGAATCAGCATGAAAATCTGTTGATGGGTGAATTATTGTAATTTCTTTTTCAGAGTTCTTTTTTAGATTTTGTTGTTCATTGTCATCACTTGAACATGAAGAGAATTTTTTATTCTGAATTGTATTTTCAATGGAAATAGGCAATGGTGTCTTATTGGAATCATCCATCTTATTTTTATTAAATAATTCTTGATTCATGTTTTTGAGCAAATTTTCAGAGGATGTATTTAATTTTTGATTTATTACTTCAGATTTTATATTAGAGTTCTTATTTTGACTGTTAGAACTAGAAGTTAGATATTCATCATCACTACTTGAAAATATTGATTTTTCATTCTGAGTTGTACTTAAGGTAGATGTAGACAATGGTTTGTTTTTAGCAGTATCTAACTCATTTTCAATAAATAATTCCTCATTCTTATTATTTAATGTATTTTCTAATGATGAATTTTGAAAAATATTTTTATTCTTGGTATCCCACTGTGGACTAGAAAATTCTTCAGATGATAAACTCATAGTTTTTGTATTCTCATTTGAAGTTTGATTATTAGACACATTTTTAGACCCATCAGAAATGCTCTTATTAAAAGGCAATTTGTTTTCATCTTCATCATCGGATAAAAGACTAAATACATTTGTATTCTTTTTATTAGTTAAAATTGTTTTATCTGCACTTTCTGTTTTTTGTACTTGATCATTTGTAACACTATCATCAATTGATTTTGAAATACCTATTTTTTTAATTTCTGATAAAGCAGATTGTTTTTTGTTATTTTTTTTAGTGAAATAGTTGTTTGATTTATTAGTATTAAATATATCATCATCAGAAGAAGAATCAAACAACTCTACTTTTGGTGCATAAAAGATATCATTAATATTTTCAACTAATATAGTTGAACCAATAATTTTTTGGTCTTCTTTTTTAAAATTATTTTTATTAGATTCCTTAATGTTAAAAAACATATCATCATTTAGATCATCTTCATCTGATGAAAATAAATTATTTAACTTTTTTGCACTTTGCGAATTTAATGGTTTTTGATTATTTTCTATTATTTTACCATCTGTGTTTGAGGATTCTATGATATTGCTGTTTAAAAAATTTGATTGTGATGATTCTTCAACAAAAATACTATCACTACTGGACTGTATATTTGATTTTAATTCATCAATGAGTTTCTTGTTTAATATTCCTGTAACATTTTTTTCTTTTATGGGAGATTCTGATTTAACATTTCCTTTATTCTTTATTTGATTTGAGTCATTTAATACTTCATCATGAACTTGAGGAAATAATAACTTCGAATTATTTTTGAATATAGATTTACTGCTAGCAGATTTAATACTAAATAAATCATCATCAGATGAAGAATCTAAGAACCTAGATGTATTATTGTTATGTGAAGTTATTTCTTTGGTAGACAATTTTGAATTCATAATTTCTTCATCTGAATCAGACTCTGAAAAGATAGTTCTTGATGATTTAACATTTTTAATTAAATTTTCTGTTTGTTTGGTGATTTCTGGCTTGGATGCAGTAATGACATTTAATGCTTTATTGGTAAACAAATCTTTGTCATCTGATTCTTGTTCAAAAAGTGAATGGCTTTTTGATTCTTTAACTTCAATTTTTGAATTTTTCTGAACAGAAGTAGCAGGATTTTGATTTGAATTATTCATCAATTGTTTTGAAATATTAAATTCATTATTATTGTTGCCAACATTATTATTCTGTATTTTTTCAGCCATTTTATTGCTTGTTTGAATTATATTTGCTTGCCTGTTAAAAAAAATAAAATATAATTAATTTCATGTACTAAATGTATTGATATATTATAGGTATATTTAAACTGATATTTATCGTAAATAAAAGATAATAATTAGTTTTTATTTGTTTTTTTTTTTTGTTTTTTTAATGGCATTACTTTATATTCTGAGATGAACTAGATATGTATGGTTTAACATCTGATCCACCAAGGACATTAACAGCTCCTCTTGGTAACTAACAAAATAATAAAAAATTATTTATAAGTTAATAAGTAATTAAAAATTTCAATAAATAAAAATTAAATGTATCTAACTTTTATTTTAGGTGATTCCATATTTTCATTTTCTGGCAGAGAACAATTATTATCTAAAATGTTACATATTATTTTAAAATTAATATTTATCTACAAATAATTACTTATCAAACAGTCAATATCAAAATAAATAACCTTTTTGAAAGAGTCTTCGTAATTCATCATTTAATGATTGTTGTATACTCGGTGTTTCAATCTTTTCAAGATTATCAGATTTAATAATTTGTTGGGGTGGTTCATCTGAATATATTGGTAGAGGTGGTTCATTTGATAAATCATCATCATTATCATCCCATAAGCTTCTCTCACCATACAAATTATTACTACCATTATCAAACATATTATATTCATGGTCTAAGTCATCTTCATCATTATCATTGGGTAATGGAGGTGGACTAAATAAATCATCTGCTTAAACAGTTTATTTTAATTAATGATAAAATAAAATTGCCATAATATGTCATAAAATATAATAAAATATAATTAATAACAATTGATATGTGAATATTAGTGAACATTACTATCAACTTTTGGTGTTTATATTATTTTTATTGTCTTAAGTAGTTTTTAAAAAGCCATAAAAATCAATGGTTAGAATTTAAAATGTCCTTAAATAGTTTTATAACCATAACATATAATATAATATAATACAATTTAAAAAAAATCATAAAACAAGTTTCCTATTTAAAGCAACATTTTAAATTACTATTACTTATATTTATAGATACTCTAATTGATACTCTTCCAATTTTTCAACTACCACTAGATGCAATGACTATTTGTTAATAAAAACATATCCTGATAAGTAAAATGGTTAAATGAAATAATAAAATATTATAAGCAAATATGTATTATTATTGATTATAAATACTAGTATTTATAATCAATGATATTATACATATTTAAATTAACACATTCAATTCACATACATTTTGTATACATACGGGGTGATGTTCAAAATAAAATCAATTGAACTTTTATACAATTAACGCCTTGAAGCGTCATCCACAGTGAATGTGTTACAAAAATATAGAAAGCAATTCGAGTAGTAGTAGAGATAACAAAATTAGTAGTCATGATGCATCTGAGATAAAGAAAAAGTATATATTTTTAAAACAAGACCTGAAATGTACCTTCAGCATAATCAGCATAAGTAAGCTCAGTTTTAGATTTTGGTTTTGCTGGTTCAACATTATCAAAAGGATCTACAGAATGAGGATTAGACTCATGTGTAACTTTTGATTCACTGATAGAATATACATCTTTTTTAGGTACATCATTACTAGATAATGATTCCTAAAAAAAAAAATTTATAAACTGTTAATACAGAGAATACATTATTGTACTTAGATCATTAATTTTATATTACTTGATCTTTAAATGTACTTTTGGCTGGTTCAACATCAGAATCTGAATCTGAAGACATGATATTATCTAGAGCAGTTTGGGATTGTATATTACCACTTATTGAAGGAAGATTTAATTTTTTATAGAATATTCGTGGCCTAAATATAGTTTCTTCATGTCTGCAATAAATAAACATAGATAAAAAAGTATTGTAAGAGAGTATTCTCTAAACACAATTCTTACTTTAGGTCATCATCAGAATCATCAGAATCGCTAACTACAACAGTAACTCTCTCAAAATGAGTATCAATAGCTTTAAAACTATTTTTAAGGACTTCTTTTATATTTTTTAACAATACATCGGTACCATTGTTTTCGTGAACAATAGATTTCTAGATTAATTGAAATATTACATTTAATTAAAATAGAAAAAATAAATAAGTAATATTAATTTATTACAAAAATTATGCTTACCTCAACTTTTGTTTGTAGTGTCTCATCTTCTTCTTGGACTTTGTTTTCAATAAACTGTTTGTCTGCTAATAACTGAAATTCATTATTGATATTTGCTATTTGAACAGCTGTATCATTCACGCAAGACACCAAATCATCTAATTCATTCAATGTATTTTTAGCACCTTGAGTAATCTTCTGAAAATTTAGAAGTACTGAATTATTTGGTATATGCAAGTATAACATAAATATAATGAAAGTCAATAACAATTAATTTTTTTTTTACTTCATATTAACTTTCACATTTATTAATAATCTTATTTGACACATTTAATTCTGTTATGCAAAAATAAAAAATGTATATGAATATGATACTAATTATAAAACACATACTTAAATCATAAATATTATAAGTAATTTTAAGGAGATAAAATATATTTTTTTATTACATTTGACAGTTGTTGAAGATAATCCACTAATCGTACTTCATCCCCTTGGTTCCAATCTTTACGTCGCTCAATGAAATCACTTAAAGTCCACACATGGGATTCCTTGGGCGGTAACTTGCTCTATTAAACATGCTCAACTTATAAAATCAAAATAAAAAATGTTATGCAACACTGACCTCCATCAGATAGACAGTTATGGCAAGCTATTATTTGATCACAGTGATAAGTTTAAACAAATAATTAACAGTAAAATATTTTAAAATTATTTTTATTTAAATCTGAAAAATAGGGTTTCTTTTATTATTACCCCAATAATATTTCATAGAACGCAACTTCAGAATCACAAAATAAAATATTTTGAGAGAAATTACATAAGATAACACGAACAATGATAACAATTTCGCTCTTATCACATTTAATGACAAGAGCTTACCGGTTGCGTAATAAATATTTATTATGCAACCAGTAAGCTATGTTATTAAATAAGATTGATATTATTAAATATTATTGATTAAATATTTGTATTCATTTTTATCTCTTATTCAATAATATTTAATAATATCAGTCTTATTTAATAATAACATAGATGATGGAATAATTCTAATAATAATAGAGTACAATTATTATTAAGAACTATTTAGTCAATGATAATATGTACCATTTTTGTAATATAGATTTACGGCCACTTTTCACAACAATTGTAATGTAACTTATGTGTGGCAAGGCTATTTTTACTCAATGATCTGAAGACGGTTGAGTACTTTTCCCGATATCAGTAGGCAAGGTCGTAACTGGAAAAAAATTTCGAGGGGTCTAACATTATTATTTAATACAATTTATAGTTAATAAACTATATTCATCGATAAAATGTTTCTACTTTCGAACATTTCAGGGGGGTCCGGAACCCCAGTTACGGCCTTGCCAGTAGGACTTCTATTAATAGTTAATACCGAGACAAATATTATGGTCTCATCTAAATTCCATGAACTTGTTATCGATTGTGGTATTTTACAAAAATATTTTTCTGATCTTGAAAATCAAAATGGGATAAATAAAAAAATAATACGTTAATTTGACTGAAATGAGTTAAGTTAAATTAATTTATCAGTAATGAAATAAATTAATAAGTTAAATTAACTTAACTTTTAACTTATTAACTCGTTAATGCCCAGGCTTGTATGCAGTGGCGTAGATACAATTTTTTTCTGGAGGGGGGTTTAGAGTAAGTTTTAAGTGTTCTTAGTATATCTTAAAACGAGGTCATATGTAATAATATTACATTTAAAATGGTATTATTATTATGTCCCGTATTTAATGAAAATTATTTTGTTACTTAATTTTTAATATATACCTTATCATAGTAAAATTAAAATATTTTACTATAATATGTAAATATTAATAAATAATAATCAAATATCATAAAAAAAATCTGTGGGGGTTGGAAACACCTTACACCCTCCCTGTAACCACGCCACTATTTGTATGTATGTATTGCCATAAAATTGCATGTCATTTGGCTATATTTCCGGATTTCAAATGAGTGAATGAAATAATTATGGTTGAATAAATTATATTTATTTTAATTGTTCAAAATTACTTTGTATACTATATTAGATGTAATGTTATTTTTTGATTTCAAAGTAATTGTCTTTCAAGAGTTCCAACCCGAGATAAGTCAACATAAAACTACCCATGGGAGAAACACTGCTTTCTTAGGTCAATGCCCACCAGAGAGAATGTTTGATCCTGGGACTTAATAATAATTAGGGCAAAAGAGATCTTGGCGGGATACTGTAGTTTTTTAAATGGTATGGGTAAATCCGTCGGATTTATGGCTATCCGCGGAACATAAGCTAGTTGCCCCAATGCTGCCCCTGTAGGAATGTTCGCTATAATTATATAAACAGCCTTGTGCCATTACACATGTTGAAAGGGCTCAAATTTCTTAATAGCATGATAAAATGCAAACTTTTAACATAAAGTCATGAAGATGTCAGGGGCACAATTTCAATAAAAAAAACTGGGGGTGCTGAAACCCTTCTATCTTTTTCATGTTTCTTATTGGTTATAGACACCCGCAACCCGTACAATTCCACAGTTAATAAAATATTTGGTAAATATTTGAATATTTCTAAATTATATAATAATAATAATAATATTTTGATGGTATATTAGAGTAAATTTATATATAAATTAATTAATAATAATTTAATTTCGTTTACAGTAATGAATTCAAGTATTAATTATACATGCTTTTATTTATTTTACATTATGCGTTATTGATTTAAGAATATTTATAAGTATGCGGTAATAGTTTATAGAGCATTAATTTTTAATTTAGATTTGACTGATTTGAGACTGTGTGTAGTATGAACATTTTGATATTTTAGGCACTGCTTAGAGTCACCAAGTTATTTGAACAGATTGTCCTTAACCAGAGGTAATCCTGCGGTGTAGGACGAAGCGGGTGCGTAAACTTGAGGGTATCCGTAATAAGTTGCGGACGGGACGACGGCTGGTGCGACGGCGATTCCGTTGTAGTTTCTTACCATGTACTGCGAACTGTATGTGGTGACCACGGGTGCGGGGACGGCAGTTACAACTGCAGGTGCAACGATCGGAGACGAAAGTGTTAAAGGCAACCTAGACGGTGCGGCAACGGAGACGACTGCGAGAGAACATGCGACAAGCGCGAACAACGACTGCGAAATAAACGAATACCTACATAATATTATTGTTATTAATACGAAATTCATTGATTAATATAACACAAAACGGGAATAGATTAGTAATAGAAAATGGACCGTTCACGTTGTACACTAGTGAAGTAGAACACAAACGACCTATGATTGGTGTCCCCCACCAAGAAAGTTTTTCATTCTTACGTGAATATGCAATTGCGTTTTACTATAAAATAGATACAATAAAAAATATATGAGCAAGACAATTAATTTATATTATAACCGTAAAGTGAGTCATTTAATTTCAGCTACGTAGACGACTTTTTTTTGAGGAAATACTATGCATTTGTATAGTGGACTGATTAGCAGTATGAAGTAGTAAAGTTTTCCAAATCGAAAAATATATAAATTTATTATGATAATAACAATACTTTTTTTAACGTCTTTTCCCATCCCTAGAAATTCCTATGTGTTTGTCGTTTACCCGTTGATTTTGACGTGATATGCTTGGAAAGCTTCAAATTACCTTTACCCTCCACAAGATAAAATTAATTATAGTTAACATTTTGATGCTTATTTTAAAACGGTGCGGATATGTATGACTTTTGATATGATGTCTGACTGACGACCAGTGGCGTCGAACCTTTTTTATATCATTGGAGTAAACCCTACTTATGGGTACCCACCTACTCACCAAAAAATCATAAATAGCATGTATTGTATACCTATGAGCTACGAGTATTTACTACACATCTAGTAATTACATAATATTATGGAATATTTTACCGTACAATAATATATCTAGCACTCATTAAGTCTAACCACTTACCCACAACCTAAACAATTTCTGGGGTATTTACCCCACTTGCTATACGTTTTCGGCGCCACTGCTGACGACTGATACCTCCAATGTTTCGATCCCAATATTTATATGAGTCAAGATGGTCTGGAGTGTCGCACTTAAGGACAACGAAATACATGTTGATTGCGTCTTGACGAATTTCCTAATGTTTTGATATTATTATTGTGCTAAAGTTATTACTGAAATACATTTGGCCAATTTGTTGTGATTACGTTGTTGATAATACGAATTTCACGTGGTGCGGGCATTCTAGAATATTTTATTAGGAAAAAAATTAATTTTTTTTGTAAATGTTTGATAAATCTAACGAGCCGCAAACTTTTCAAGGTGGACCGCATGCGGCCCGTGAGACGTGGGTTGACCATCCCTGGTCTAAATGTTCGTTGTCTCTGTGTTGCAGCAGGAAATCTCTGCGAACATTCAGTGCTAGATACCTAACTATGTATTTCTGATATATTCTGCCTATGGTTAGCCAGTAGCCACGACCTTTCGGTGCTAGATTCTTTAGCACGCGTTTGTGATCTGTATTCTTTTTCATTCGCAAGGCGCTGAGCATGCTCAACATTTATTTATTTAATTTTATTTCTGGTTAATATACAGCCTATAACACTCAAAAATAATGTGACATTTTATTGGTAAAATAATTTTCAAAATCAGTTCAGTAGATCTAGAGATTACCGCCTATAATATGTATAAAGTATAATAAATATAATATAGATAATAAAAAAAGTCGATATTTCAATCACTTTATATTTTTAAATACCTCCAAAAGACTTTCTAGTGGAGTGGTCCCTTAAAAAGCATCTCAAGCGAGTTTTACTATATATATAATTTGTAACAAAGTGTCACCATTGTAAGAATGTGATAAAAACCTAGTGTAAACGTGATGTAAACAATTCTACGAGCATTTAATCCATGAATAAAGGAGACTTTTGTGGAAAGTTATTATTATTGGATGGTGAGCTGATTGTACGATAATTTCCCAGGCCGAAATTTTTAGCCAATCCGCCGCTGTAAGGAACATTTTAAGTAATAATATAATAAAAATAAGTATTATGGTTATGAAGTCAAAAGCATCATAGGGAGATTTTGGACCAGCAGTTCCCAACAGGGGCGGACTGGCAGGGCGGGTAGGTGGCCATACCCACCCAGGCCCTCTAAAAATGTTGTGTTTGGGCCTCAAACTATATTTTGTTATTTTAACGCCACGCCGTAATCATTACCGATAGCTGAAAATCATTGATTATATAATAGATATTATATATTACTATATTATATAATCAACGCTGAAAACGAAGAAAACAATACAATATACAATAATAAAACTGGGATAGTCCGACTGCTGCCGCAGTGGCTATGAAAGTTATTATTAGATTCATTTTTGGAATTAATTAAGTAACGATATACGTATCGTGAAATCTTATTCTTACCTATGTTTGATTGACAACATTTCTATAATAGTTCGACCATGGACCAATATAAATAATGAATATAAAATATACATATATTATTACTATTCCGAATTCCAATCATTTGTTCATGATGCGTCGAGTTGTTTGGTTTATTAGCTTATTGTTTATAGTTAAATACTCTAGTTAAAACTTAAAAGCATACAAGTAAATACTAAATTTATTATATTTTATTTTTTTTTTTATGTTCGTAATCGTAACTTTTTAAGTAAAGGCGAAAAGCTTGAAATTTAAATTTATAATTATAATAAAAGTAGTTATTACTATACTAGGCATTTTTAGCAATCATGGAAATATTCGGTTCTTTCTGTTACACCCTGTATATTATATTCTATCAACATTAATCACAATAATATTTTTTTTTAAATAGTGGTTTCTGGTTTTACAATGGAAATAAATATCGAAGATAAAAATAAGAATAAAAAACAAAAAAGTGGTTTTGAAAAAAAATTAGAAAAGCGAGTGGCATTATTGTCTGCAGCTGGGTCGGATAGTAAACAACGAAAGCTAAATTTTACTGTGACTTCATTTAAAAAAAATCAACAGAAAAATGTAACTGAAATTTCAAATCTTCCACGTGCTATTGAAAAGTCTTCCAATAATAGTGATGAAATTCTATCTGAATTAACCCCGGAATTTCCTACAAAAATGTCCAACATAATATATCCTAGTTCAAGTTTACCGATTAAAGTTACAAGTTACCAAGATGAATCAAATGTAACTATTAATAAAAATGATATGGTTTCTTTATCCGAATCCGAGTCTGACCAAAATAGTATGGATAAAATAATCGAGTCTAATACAAACATTAGTCTTTTTATTCCTCCTCTTTTTAGTAGCCATTATCAAACAAAAGTTGCATTTGTTGATGCACACTCTTGTCAACCTCAAAGCAATGTACCATTTGCTTCTAATAAAGTTTATATTAGAAAAATGCCGGATGGGAAATATGTAAATAGAAAATGGGTTACTTACAATGAAATTAACAAAAAAGTATACTGCTCTTTATGTATGGCCTTCACTCGTCCAAATAGTACTTCATTTATTGAAGGAGTTGAAATAAATCTAAAATATCTTTATCGTCAATTAGAAAAACACGAAAATTCTAAACCTCATGATAGTGCCTGTAAAACATACTTCAATATTTCATCAGGGAAAACAATGACAAATTCACTTTTAAGTCATCGTCAAAAATGGTAGAGCTGAATAGAGAAATCATGACTAGAATTGTAGATATTGCTTTACTAATTGCTAAACAAGGTTTGGCATTTAGAGGAAAGAGAAATGAAGCGGCTTATAATTTGTCAGATTTAACTTCAAATTTAAATCAAGGGAACTTTTTGGAAATTGTAAAACTTGTGGCAAAGTGTGACCCAGTGTTACAAACACATATAAATAATTCCATAAAAAAAAGTTTAATTAAACAAGGAAAAACTGGACGTGGCTCGTATGTAACATTTTTATCAAAAACTACCCTAAATAAAATTTTGAATATAACTGGAAATTTAATAAAAAACAAAATTGCTAAAGAAGTAATACTGTCAGAACAGTATTCATTAGAAATCGATTCTACTCAAGATACCTCGGTTAAGGATCAATTGTGTATTTGTATAAGATATGTTTTAAATGGAAAAATCAATGAGAGAATGGTAGCCTAAGTAGAATCGACATCTGGTACCGGAGAAGCGTTGTATAATGTCGTGAAAAAAGAATTAGAATCCTTAAATATCCCTTTAGCTAATTTAATTGATGGCGCTGTTGCTATGAGCGACTGTTATAACGGTCTTCAAGCACATTTAAAAAAAATTGCACCCGAATCTATATTTACACATTGCCACGCTCACGTATTAAACCTTATAGTAACTGATGTCACGTCGTGTTGTTTATCTGCTCAAGATCTTTTCAATTTATTACAAAAAACCACAGTATTTTTTTTCTGATTCTTATAAAAGAACTGGTATTTGGAAAAATTTTCTTTCGAAAGTTCAAACTGGAAATGATAAATTGAGAAAAATTCAAAAATTGGGTACTACTAGGTGGAATAGTAAGGACGCTGCATTGAAAAATATTTTTGGTCCTTGGTCAGAGTTTAGTGAAACTAGTGATCGATATGACGTTTTATTGGAATCTTTATATTTTCTTGGTTCAGATAAATTCAAATACATCATCTGATGCAAGGTTTTTAATAGAAAAATGGACATCTTTTGAAACTATCATAACTTCATTTATATTTCTTGAAATTTTTCATTATACTACTGCTGTTTCAAAATATCTTAAATCTAAAGAATTGGATTTCATTACTGTTATAAATCTAATTAAGTCTTTACTAAGTGATATTAGAAAAGGATCATCGAATTATGACAAAGTCGAGGAAAGAGCTATTAATTTTATTTCGAGTAAAAACAATTCTGATAAAATTAAAAAACTTGAAAATATATTAATAGAACAAACATTTACTAATAAACGAAGGCCAAAAATTAAAAAAATGCCCGGTGAGAAAGCTTCGGATGATAACAGAAATATTTCACCAAATGAATATTTCAAGATCAATACCCATCGAAGAATTTACGATGTTTTAATAAATGTGTTTGAAAAAAGGTTTGAAAAAAATGAAAAAATATATGAAGTATTAGGTACATTTAATACACAACGTTTTAAAGAATTCGACAAAAATCCTCATTTAATTAATGACGATAATTTAAGATATGTTGCTCAAAAATCAAATGCCAAATCTGGAATCGCATTAAAAGAAGAGTTTCTTCAATTTATATCATTTTTTAAT